TTCACTGTATAGGAAGCAATCCATTTGCTTCAAGGGCGCTTTTATTTTGATACAAGGAGTTGTAGGTCCTTAAGTTATGTAAGATGGTTTTTTTGCACTCTTAGATTTTACAACTAAATGAAATACATATTTCTAAATTTTTCATTATAGGATATTGTAGAGTTGTGTTTGTACTGTAATCAAAATGTATGTTGATTAATTTACGTTGATTTGTTTCAGAATTGAATACGATAATTCTTTGTAATCAAAATAAAGTTATAAAAATATCATTACATAAATTATATACTAGATATGATGAGAGACTTCTTCAAAGTATTAAACTTCTATATGTTAAACGTGATATGATAAATTCAATTTATGATTAATCCCCAGCTTATAAATTTGTAATCAATTAAATTTCAGGATATTGGTTTGCAGCTTTATTTCACGGAATCATAGTTATTACTTTTTTTACCATCGTACATCATAAATTGGTTTAGAAATTGGAATTGGATATGAAAGAACGTAGCTCTGGTTGGAATATATATCTCAAACCTTTTACAAAGCAACGATATACATCATAGCTTTGTAAAAAATGACGGAGAGTATAGAACTTTGGAGGAGGGCCAGATGAGGCTCCAACATTACAGTAGGCTACGGTGAATACTAATACTTTATACTACCTTGTATGGTAAAAATGTATTTTTGCGTATTTATCTGCTGCAAAATTACTGGATGCCCATAAGTATTAACATTACCTAATCCTTGCAGTATTTAGCGGAACTTTCATACGTATCTACAATTATTCTTCCATTAATTAATTTCCAAATTTCATAAAGTTATAGATATTAAATAGAATAAAGTTGTGTCTCTATTAAATTCATATTCCTCCCGTCCTACTGATCATATCTTTATAATTCACGTGTTATTTCGAAGCTTATGATCTAGCAGAGTGGCGAATGGTAAGAAAAAATGTCATTTGATTTAGGGCTTTGTCCCAATAGCGTTTAATTTATTTCTAGAGTTCACTTTCAAAGATCGAGTGAGGCTGATCAACTTTCTTTACAACTTAAGACAGTAAAAATGCTGCACAGATCATCTCAATCCATTCTACGCTCATCCTTCACTCATATTTGGCTTAAAATACGCACCTAGGTGGCGTCCCCATCTCGATAATCAATAATTAACAATTGTTATTCATTGTGACCCTTGATTGGAATTCAACTACAGTTGCTAGTAGTACATTTATGATGTGGCTGCATACAATGACCTGACGAAGTTCTAAGAAACTAAACTAGTTGTTATACCAGCAACTGTGGTTGGATAGTTAATCCTTTTATTTTATTATTTAATAATTAGTTGTAAAAAAGAGTTGTACTTAAGGAAAGCTGATCCTTCAGTTGAATTTTTAACCACAGTCAGATAGTAAACAAGGGACACAGTTTAAGGAAATGGACTACACAACTAGCCGAGACTTCAATGTGGCTGAGAATAAATTTGGTGATAATTGTACCCTGATTGAGGCACGAAAATGTAATTTATTCAGAATCGGTAAATTAGTATATTTATTCACTTAATTATAAACAAGCATAATCTTTTAAAGAAGTATTGCAGTATTTGGTACGCATATTATACGGGTTTTGAACCCTATTGAAAAGCGTAATGGGTGCAAGGGTCCTCTCCTATTTTGTTAATTTTTGCAGTAGGTCGACGAATAGGTACAGTATATTTAAAATACTGTATGTTTCTTAATAAATACATGATTTTAATTCAGGTAAACCTCTATTTAGAGTGGGTTTCTAAACAGAGAACATTCTAATCACAGCATTTCCATTTGAAATTACTTAAAAAGTTCCATACAATTCTGTGATGGCTTGGCGTAGTGCTTTGACTGCTTTGTGTGAAATAATTGTGGCGCGCACCTTTGCTCAGTTCTGGCGGGTAAGTATTGTTGTTTTTTGGATAAATTTATCTTCAATACAAGAACCTGGGTAATAAATAAAACGCCATAAGGTGTTATAGAACCAGAGTGGTACTAGTCGGTCCTTTAATGGTTAACTGTATTGTTTTATTTATGTTTAGTTATAATAATATTACATTCAAAAACAAAACATATATTTTTGAATGTATTTATTTTACGATTCCCCTTAATTAGTCCAACATCATCATCTACTATTGACATAATGAACGGAGTGAGATTAACCGATAATCTTTAAATGTCATTTATGCATTTCGCAAATAAACATATAGAGAATCTTGAATTGGAAGGGCATTTAAAGGGAAATCATTAAAGCTACGGATTTGGCAACGAAGACCTTTAACTTGTAACCTAAATTTGATTCCCAATATTTCTTCAACAGATTAACCGTAACACAAAACAGTTTTTGAAAAGGATTAGTTTATCATGCATATCTAAGTTTTCAAAACTAATTAAAAAGGTTCTTTATGAATTTACGCTATTAAGATATTCAAGGACATGTATTAATTAATTTAACAAATATAATCGTAGTTTCTTAGTACATTAAATTTAACACAGCCAATTAATTTCCTTCACTCCAAAACAAAAACACAAAACATTGTTTTTAAACCATCATAAAGCAATAACCCAAACCGAAATTCAAACAAACCATTCTTTCAAAAATATGTAAACTGTATGATTTGTCCTATTGTTGCAAAGTAGGTTTGGCGCCACACAGGTTACATGTTGATGTTGGCTTTAGTTCAGGAATTGAATAATTTTCTTAATTGCCATTTACTGACAAAATATTTATATCACTATTACCATAAGCAATGATATAAAACATAGCTCATATCCACTAAAATCCGTGTTTTGTACAAAAATATACAACAATTTCATTGTTTTGACGTTGTTCAAAACTCGTGAAAATTAATATACAGGGTGAGTTTTAATTGTCCCCCCCAAATTTTTTCTACATTTTTTTCAAATATCAATACCAGACCACTTCCAAACATTGTTTGGTAGTAAGTACTTCATTTTGACAAGGTGGTCATTTCTGGCCGCCATCTTGGATCCGCCATATTGGATTCAAAAGTAAGGGTGGAGTTGTGACCCATTATTTCGAACTCGATTTTTACCCTGAGTACAATTCCGCAAACCGTTTTTAAAAATCTTGATTCATTCTAAAGTTATGAGGCCTTTTTAAAACTTTATTTTTAGCCCATTTTAACATTGTGCTTGTACAAACTAAGACCATAATCTCAAAATAGTGCTAGATAAAGATAAGTATACACTACCAGTCATTGCCAACCTATTTCCACTTGGTTATGAATGATGTATTTTTTTCGGCCGCCATCTTGGATCCGCCATTTTGAAATGTGATAAATTATTTTAAATATAAAAGGGGCGACCCATCATTTCGGATTACTTTTTTAAGCTGAACTCAATTCCATAATCCATTTTTCATTTTCATATTTTGATTTTTAAATATTAACATTTTTAACAAAAATATTGCAATGTTTCAGAAATAAAACTTGATAACAAAAAATTAATTGCGGCATTGAGTTTAGCTTAAAAAAGTAGTTCAAAATGATGGGTCACAACACACCCTTCATATTTAAAATAATTTATCCCATTTCAAAATGGCGGATCCAAGATGGCTGCCGAAAAAATACATCAGTCGTAAATAACTGAAAATAGGTTTACAATAACTGGGAGTGTATACTTATCTTTATCTAGCACTATTTTGAGATTATGGTCTTAGTTTGTAAATGCACAATGTTAAAATGGGCTAAAAATAAAGTTTTAAAAAGGCCTCATAACTTTAGAATGAATCAAGAATTTTAAAAACGGTTTGCGGCATTGTAATCAGGGTAAAAATCAAGTTAAAAATAATGGGTCACAACCCAACCTTTACATTTGAAAAAAATATTTTGCATCCAATATGGCGGATCCAAGATGGCGGCCGGAAATGACCACCTTGTCAAAATTAAGTACTTTCTACCCAACAATGTTTGGAAGTGGTCTGGGATTGATATTTGAAAAAATGTAGAAAAAAGTTGGGGGGGGGGCAATTAAAACTCACCCTGTATGACATTGTACAAAAATAATTTTAAATTATGGACATGCTTGATATTCTTATACCTAACAATTTATTGATCTGTTACACTGAACTGAACCACTTTCTTTTGAACTAAAAGTGGTTCAACTTTAAAGACAGACTTGTTTCCATCTATACAATTCAATAATAGTTTGTCTATGTAGTTCATCCATCTGAGATCGTAGTTCAAAATGTTATTGTGAACGAAATCCTAATGAAATATTTGAATGTTGCACATGTGGCATACGTATGGAAGTGACGTGTAAATGCATCATAAAGAGTGTACGTCAATTTACAAGGAGTAGTGAAACCTAAACCAATAACTTTATAAACAATGGCAGCGATAGTTTTAACTAAGGCAGAGGCTCTGGTTTATTTCATCATTAGCGATGACCTGGCTTGTGAGATCATGTACTCTCATTCATTATCCAGCTACAAGCCAACAAAGAGTCTAGCCTTTCCACTACTAATTAAATCTAAAGTATGAGGCGGACTTTACAGAAAGTATTGGTCGTTAACAAAGCTTTGAATTAGTCCAATCCAAGAACCAGTGATCTCAACAAAGAATAATGATAATATACAATATTATGTAATGTAGAACGCCGTAAGTGCTTTCAATGCACGTTCCATAACCTACAAAAGATAAAGGATAGATATATTTAATTACGAAAAATGAAATAAAACATTTAATAAATAATTAATATATTTTGGACAAAATTTATCTCAGTATTGTAGGCCGAAGAATGATAAAACCAACACATCTGTTGAATCGTAACATTGCATACATCGCTAACTTATGTTGTGATTGTTAAATTTACCATGAATATTTTTAATAACTGCAATTCGTTTAGTGCTTACAGGAACAATTAATTACAAAAACTAATTAGGAGGCTTATACTCGTATATTTCAAATATTTCTAGGTATAATTTTCTCAGGTACCTACAGTTAAGGGAAATTTGTACTTAAAAGGAATGTTGAACACCACGGTCCCATTGTTTGTGATTATGTAAAGCTGCCAAGTGATGCCCTCCAAAGTAATGTTCTCCGAAGTGATGTTCCTCGTGGTCATAATGCTGGTGGACATGGACCGGGATATGAACCGGAACCTTGACTGGATACGGCACCTCCTTCTCCACCGGGTAGGGAACCTTCTTCTCTACGTAGACGGGGTAAGGCTTCTCCACAGGGTAGGGGACTGGCTTCTCAACTGGCACCTTGATGGGATAAGGAACTTTCTTCTCGACGGGGTAAGGCACGTGTTTGACAACAGGAACGTGATAGGGGACAGGCCGGGGGACATGCACCTTGACCGGGTAAGGGATGTGTTTCTCTACAGGATAGGGCACCTTCTTCTCTACGTAAACGGGGTAAGGCTTAGGTATATGTACGGGGACTGGCCTCACCACAGGCACTTTTACAGGGTAAGGAATCTTCTTCTCGACAGGGTAAGGTTTAGGGATGTACTCCTTGACTGGGTAATGCACTTTCTTCTCCACAGTCACAGGGTACGGTACCTTCTTCTCCAAGTGGACCGGGTACGGCACCTTCACCTCCTTCTCTATCGTGATGGTCTTCACCTCGTGGTGGTGGTGGTTGCTGAAGTCATGTCCCTCGACTATGATGGTAGTCAACACCAGTAACAGCGCCAGTAGACTCTGCATGTTGCTGTACTGTGGTCGTGGAGATGAGTGTAGCAATGGAAAATGACCGCAGGCTTATATACTAGTGTTATGCGAGTTATCTAACACAGCCTTATGACATCCGTTCAGCTAATACTCGAGAGTTGTGATATAACATGTATATAATATTAGGAAATATTGTTTGTTATTTATATGTACGGGGGTGAACTCGTTTTCCTTAAACATTGAGCAAAAAAAAAAAAAAAAAAAACCGCAGTTTGCCCATAGAATTTAAACAGTGCAAGTAAACTTGTCATCCTCAACAAACTCATAATTACAAATAATGAAATAATTGTATTTTATTTTAGCTGTTTTTTTATTATTTCGTACTCCATAAAAAAATCATTAAACGTGGCTTAAAAATCACTCCCCTCACCCGGCTTTACCAATAATAAATAATAAATAAACCAACAATAAACCGAGTTTGTCGGAGGGGGCTCATCACTTTTTTCTTCTAAATTTCAAATTTCTCTCTCCTTTTCATTCTTTTTCTGAGCCACAACTGCCTTTTACAGTGGTGTTTACTACTTTAAAACAAACATGGCATTTACTTTATTACTTTATTACACTTATTATATTTATTATTTACTTTATTTACATTTACTTTGTAGTAAACATTGTAGACAAACATGGCAACTGACTTTTATTGAACGGAAATAATGTGAAAATAAACTTTGTGGTGGAGCAGAGTAGAAAATGTAAAATCTGCAAATCATTTAAAATTAGATACAAATTTGGACTTTGGTCTATTATCAGGCGTATAGTAATATATATCTAAAAAAAGGTTAACTGATATATATATCTATGACACAAATATTGCTTTGCAGTTTGACGTGGTTTTAATTTCCAGTTTCAAAAGATTGACTGAATCGTTGTAAAATTACAGATAGTTGTTCATAATACTGAAGCCGCGTTTACACAAGGCCAACAGGCGGGCATTTTACTGGACAGGTTACATGCTTCTAGTGTATTCCAAGTTGAGGCAGGTAACCTGCTCGCCAACTGTCCTCATGTAAACGTTAAATGTCATTTGTAACTCGGATGTCATGGCCACTTTAAACTTGTGAGATTTTGGAGTCAAAATTAATAATGTCTGAAATATAAAGGAAAATAAATAAAAGGGAATAGAATTCAAGAAAGGGAGAGGAGGGAAATCATGAATAGTCCCTAGGCAGCAACTGGCTACATCGACCATAGTCTGTTAGCTAATTGTTAGTCACCTGAGTCATGTGAGCCACCAGATGTAGCTGAAAGTCTGTACAACGAGCCAGGAGACAGAGCCAAGTATACCTAGCCAGACGTTACAAATAGTGTTACGAGCCAGTCATTGTTAGTCTACACTGTGTGGGTCCGTGAAATAGATAGATCTAGATTATACCCTAATTTTCAGAATAATTCGGTATCTAAATCTTAGTGATTGTCACCTGTTCGTGTACTTGATTATACCTTCTACCCTGTGTAAAGCCTTGCTCTACTTAGTAGGTATAGGTACTTTAAACTCAAGTTTTAGAAAACTTTTAGCGTCAAAAACTAAATTAAAATTTTTCATAATGTCATGTTTGTTGCTTCTAACACCACACCACAGTATGTACCAAAAACATACAGCAAATAATATGCAAGAGCATAAAGAACTGAAGTAATTACTGTAAAAAAACTATTTTTCCTGAAAGATGACGTGGTTGATAGACGTAAGTGGTGATATTTGAAAATGTTTGTTTTATTCTTTGAAGTACGTCTAAAACCTCTGTTTGATACAAATTTAAGTACCTATTAGTTTCATACTACTCATTGAGGTCATACTACTGTATCCCCCGTGGTGGTAGCGAGAATCACTTTTAGGTCAGATGCAGATCACTAGTCACTCCGTTGTCGTTGGTGTTGCACCTTTCCTAAGTCATGTTAAGTTTTATTGTTTTCCTACAGTAAAGGATTTGGGTTTTCATTAAATGTGCAATTTATAAGTATATATCCCAATATTTAATACAATTGTAAGTATTTTCCGTTAAATATTCCTTCTTGGTTCTAAATTCTTTGACGCATTTGAGTGAAACATTTTCGGGTCAAACATCAATAAATTGTTAAGGTTTTACGCTGTTTGTATAACAATAGTACGTAACAAACTTAAGTTTTGATGAAAATCGTCACTAGGTATCTGTTTGGTTCAAGTCATTTCTTAAAATTAAAGCCAGAGTTCTTAATAGAATCAAGTTTAACGAATCAGATATACATATAATATGTTGCACTATTTATTCGACGCTAAATCAAAACTTAGGCTTCGGGTCCCTATATTATTTTAAAGATAAAAACAGTTCCTACTTAACCTATGTCAAATAGTTCCTCGACTACTCAGTTGAAATTACTCTTATTTTCCATAAATAAATCATTACTTTCAAAGATTTCAAGTTTGTAAACACCTAGTTAAAAAGTTACTTTTTCGTTTTTAAGTTTGTGTAGTGTAAGTTTTAACAACGTGTTGTAGATGTTGCAAGCGTTGAAAATATTGTTTCGTAACGAAGCATGTGAAATGATTATATTAAAATTCGTGTACAACTATTACAGATCATAAAAAATATGGGGACCTATATAGTATAAAGCTACAGTGTATTTATTTAGTACAATCACATACTAAAGAGAGTGGTCTATCTTTGGCACAATAAAACTCTATACCGGCATATTCCTAATATTTAATTCCCACTCCACTTTCCCTGATCAGTTTCTCCGGTCCAAACGAAGTGTCCCAACTTCCCTCATCTCCTCGATGTTTACCTTTGCCTAAGTCCACGCTGTAGGCCGTCGGTCACAGCCTATTAATATTCAATCGCTCCAACTACTCCATAATGTATTATGCCTTGCAACTTAAACTTCAGTTTAGCTTAGCAACCTTACTCTAAGCTTTGGTGTATAAATATGTATATACCAAAGCCTAGAACAAAAGTTGATTTTCAATGTTTCCAACATTGGTGGATTGTTAACACATCTACTGAATATATCTTTTGTCCGTGATTGAGAGTGATTTCGAGATAATATGTAAACATGTCACTAATGAGTTGCACTGATGTTATAAAATGTTTCAACTTTGAACTTGTGCTGATGAGTGAAAACAGATTTTTTTCATTAGCATAAAATTCGTACAAATACTCTTTAAAATAAATTGCACAATTAATTTCAAAGTCTTTACCTGTATTTTGGAACTGTCTTCGCTGAACATAGATGATTTTAAATTAAACTTATCCCTATCTTGAGTTTATTTTTTTTTTGTAAGTTATTTCAAATGGAAAGTGTCTTCCATAATAATTTACGTAGTATTTTCTAACCTTTTCATCCTAGACCGTTACACTGTATGAAACATTTCAGGCTAGGCCTAGGGTAACGGCATACACACACATAAAAGTCATAATTGATTGGAGGGATTTGAACCCAAGACCTTGAGAACCGAAGCTCTTCGCTCTTCTACTGGACTAGCTCCGTTTAGGCAACTTAATAGATTATTTACGTTGACTATACTTGAGATAAGGAGAAAAGTGAATGTCTTACTCGTTTACATTAGTTACAATATGTTCTAATCTGAAAAAGAAACACATTAACATATAAATACCACAAAAGCGATCCAAATGGAAAAACTCCAATCACCTTCCAATCGTGATCCATTACAACGATAATAGTACAAGAAAGGTCATCAAGATAATAGTTGACAAGCAATAGTCATTCACCATTCGGAATTGTCTTTGTACGGTATAATGACACTAAACAAGGGAAATTACTTTAGAACCGTCAATTTGCATCTAAAATGTCGCTTAAGCATAAATTGAGGTTCGACGTAACATTTGATTACCGCTTGTTCAGCTTTCTCGTCCATATTCAGGTCATGGAGTCGACAGAGACGATCTCGACAAAACAGAAAATCTGATGACACTTAATAATCGGTTCGGATTGTGTAATAGATGCTTTTACACCCAGTATAGCTATGAATGGCTAAGGTGGACAGCTACGAAGGTTTTTGATAATTATGAAACCAAAATAAGCGTGGATTGCGAAAGAAAGAGATTGAAGCTTTGAAGGTTGGAAACAGTAAGGTCTGTAACTATAAGATTGTTAAAATTAAGATAAGATTCAGGATTTATTTCTGATATTAAGCGGTTTACAACAGGCTTAGTCAAATATGTTCTAAGTTAAATTAATATTTCAGTCTTTTCATTAAAAATCAAACATAAAAATAGTCCACTGCAAACCAAACTAACAGCACTTCCGTCAAAACTTCAAACAGCAAAAAATTAATCGTCAAACAAACATTTCTTCCAGTATACATACAACAATTTAGGTAGGTATTTAAATTTGGTGCAGTCAAGGCATAAAAAAAAAACTCGCCAAACTGGTAATATGGGTTCAACTCAAGCCAATTGTTCATTGTTGTTCACGATGGATATGAATTTGGATCTTTGGGAACGTACAATACCAGGGAGGTAATTTAAAAACTTAACACCTGTAACAGGAAAGCAGTTTTGAGATCTACTTCATCTATTACTGCTTATGTACATTTGAGCGATTTCCGCTCATGTAAGAGTGAACATCCTTATTATATACAAGAACAGACAGAAGATTATTGTAGGTAAATCTGTTTTACCACAAACAATAGACTAACTATTAAAAGATTCTATTAATTTATTTTTCCAGAAACCAAAATAAAGGATAGCTGTGATAGAAATGGATGATCGTTTGTAAATTATTTTAAATTTTGTCTTAGAATTACAGAAGATCAACAACCGTAAACTACGATATATAATTAGGTAAATAAGTCAGTAAATGATTGTTTCATTGCTACAAATAATACTGCAGTACTGCATTTCACACAGGCAGTCAGTTATATTTAAGATGTTTCTTAAAATTGTATTTTGTTTACATTTGGTGTCAAATAGGTCACCAGTATGATAACAAATAATAGTAATATTCGTTTAAAAAAAGATCTTGATAAAGTTGTAACCCAA